CATGAACATAAAACAATGGCATATGTGGATGAGATAAGATATTCGCCGGTGCCGGTAGCACTGTTCCGCTCAACCGCTAAAGCTTTCCGTGTTGAAACTTAATCGTCATACTAAGATTTATACATAAAAATAGTCAGCAGCCTGACGGAGAGCCAATCACAGTTTTGGATCTGCCACTTTGGTTTTGCGCACCTGTCAGATGGCAATGGTAATTACATGAACAGGCAGCGGCAAATGGTCCGTGTGTGCTTATCCATCGTTCGAACATTTGCCATACGTGGTAAAATGAAGGTATGACTGGCTCGCGAGAATGTCGCCAGCACCAAACAGTTGAACACCCGACGGAACGTTCATGTATCGACGTGCCACGGTCGATGACATACGCGATTCACACTGCTTCACTTCACTTCACTTCCGCACTCAATCGAGCCGTCATCGCAACTACAGCCGGAACAGCCAGAATACTCGACGCAGCAGGTCTCCCATTGGCAGGTAGTCAAGATCAGATTGCCGGCCGACCAGAACCGCGAAACTGATCCTTCACGAAACTGGTGCCTTCGGTGCACATAAATGGAATTAATAGGCTAATTTTTCGACTTGACTCAACAAGGCAGCAAATCGCGGCCGAAACCTGGTGCCATCAGCACACAGCACGGTCGGGGTATTCACATGTGGAACACTTCATCCGAAGACAGTTAAGTAGTTCGTTCGTGTGTTGGTGTTCATCGTACCGAAAACTGAAAGATGCACAAAAACGCTTTATTTATACACAACGCAAACGAATACTCGGGTCAATCGATCGAATGATTAGTACCGACGTTTCAACTCGTCTGTCATCGGTCTTCTTCAAGGTGGCCCATGTCGCCAACAGCGCCCCTTCGACTCCAGGCCAGACAACAACGGCGGCGTACGCGTTGAAGAAGGCTGGTGAAAGACGAGCCGAAGACGAGCCGAAACGTCGTCTACCGGTCAGTCAACCGACTGAGCAACATACTCGTTTGCGTTATGTAAAACTAACAGTTTTTTATGCATCTTTCAACAATCCACAGAAAGATGTGGCTGGCGTTCGCGTCACTTAGCCTCGGCGCTAAGCAGCCGGCCGGCCGACCAACAGCAGGCGTCACAACGCGGCACGGAGGCAACACGTAACTCAGTGAAAAGCGATGCCAGGTGAGGTGACACGGTCATCCGTCGGC